CGGTGACAGGTGGGTCTCGGTTCGCGTGAGCACGAACCAAAAGATATCAACTGCGGGACGTGATTTGGCCCGGCGGAAACGAGTTCTCTTGACGACGACGGCTCCGGATCGCCGAAAATATAAGCTCGAGTCGCATCAGCAAGACAGTTGCAACAACGTCGCCAACTCAAAAAGGCTCATCTCCCATTCAGACGTCATTCCGAGAGCCATCATGGCCTGGTTATTCGTAGAATTGGCCAATAAATCAGTAATATGAAATGTATTCACCCTATTTCGTTTAAGGTGATGTAGGACTGGTAGTAGAATTATCCCACAGAACCTTGATTTCCCAAAGGTTGTTCTCATTCAGGCACCAGTCGACTGCATTTTCGAGCTCTCCTCGGTTTTTATCAACCCTCCCAGCGGGACTCGATCCGCGACAGTGCAGCGACTAGGCTCGACACGTTAACCACTCAGCCACATTGCCACGAGAGTCCTTGGGTCACAGGGCAGATGTGAATTTCATTTCACATAACTGATTCACCGGTAGTCTCTAAGCTCTACTTATATGCGAAAATTAAGTAGTGCAGTCGATTGTCATATCAAATATAGCGTTGCTTCATCGACAATCCCACTACAGAATGTTATATGTGATAAGGTCTGACCTTCCTTGAAATTCACACCTTTTCTGTCAGTCAAGAGCATTCGTGGCAATGCGGCCGAGTGTCATTAACGTGTCGAGCATAGACGCTGCACCGTCATGGTTCGAATCCCGCTGGGTGTGTTGATAAGACCGAGGCGAGGTCAAAACTGCAGTTCACCGGCGCCTGGATGAGAACAACTTTTGGGGAAGCAAAGCTCTGTGCAATTCCGTGGAGACGGCAGCTCTACTCATATCATTGTGGGAAAATTCTAATACCAGTCTTTCATCACCCTAAACGAAATAGGGTGAATACTGTTTAAATTATGGTTACTAAAGTGTCACCGGACTACCAACAGTTTATAGAAAAATCTGCGGACGAAAGACAATCTAGAAGGGATGCGAATAAAACCAGATAAACTGAGCTGTATACAGCAGAATTTAATGCTGACAGATAGTGCTGCAAACTACTCATATTGAAAGTAAGTAACACCATCGATTGCAATTGTAACATACGTTTGCTCAATCTACAATCTCACTATTAAAGTGTAATTTTGGAGAGATCTGACTTTTCCTGAATGCTGCATCTTCACTTCCGGCGCACACAGGGTGGAGAAAGAAATCTTGTCATCATATACTCAAGACACGGGTTCGAATACCGCGTGGGATGCCATTTCAGGCTAGGCCAGAACATCTTTTGGGAGGCGAGGCTAAGTAAAGTTCAATGGCATCCTGTAATCTATTTTTTCCTATCTTAATATAATTTAATCTAATACAGGAGCTACATTCACTCTATTTCGTTTAAGGTTATAAAAGACTGAATAGTCCATCAACAATATGAACGAGTCTCATGGTCTCATTGAATTATACGCAGCCTTACCTGCCAAAGGTCGTCTCATCCAGACTGGAATGGACTGGACAATAGTTTATACCTTATTTATCGTATTTAAGTAGAGTTTTTAGACTACCAGTAAATCAGTAATATGAGATGTATTCACCCTATTTCGTTTAAGGTGGTGAAGGACTGGCAGTTGAATTTTCCCAAAATGATAAGAATAGAGCTAGCGCTTCTGCCTTGCCTGAACTGGTCTCATCATCGTCCCCAGCGGGACTCGAACTAGAGTTATGATAACGTTGAGTGTAATTTCAGCGCGTAAAATACTACACCACACCGCCACAAGTGCTCATGGGTCACAGGGCAGATGTGAATTTCAACGAAATCCATGTATTTTCCCATTTCACAGTATGTAATGGGATTGTCGACTAAATTATTGTTTTCGTTTATAATTAGGCCTTAAGACTACCAGTAGGTCATGTGTACATAGTATTCGTCCAATTTCATTTATGCTGATGCAAGAAATGGGGTGAATACATCTCTTATGTATGATCTACTACTGGTCGTCTCAAAACCTACTTAAATAGGCCGAAATCTATGAAAATGCAACTACCTTAAACGAAATAGCGTGAATATATTTTAGATAATTTATTTTTCTTTTGACATGTTTGCGGATGAATGAATATGACAAGCATAAAGCCGTAAAATCCCAATCCTTGGCGCTTGTTTAGGCGTGTAATTGTGTGTGAAATGTGAGCATGCATGGCACATCATCGATTTCCCATGTATATTGAGATGCGATGGCGGATTGAAGAGAGCTGCAAATGATATAAAATAATAATTCGTCCATGTCGCTTCAATTGGGGAAAGTCAGGATTGTTGGATTGTACACTTTAAAATGATTAAATTGGTTACCCATCAAACCATACTTTGCAAACTGGGTGTGTGCCTGCGATGACAGAGAGCGAGTTCAGCAGTGTTATAGTGAAATGTACAAAGCCAGAGACGATCGTTCATGAAAAGGAGGTCGGCTGCAAACACGCTTTTTGCTTATGCATAATTTTGCAAATTTAATGAGGCAGTTAATGATCTGTTTAGCTACTTCACGTTCCTCTTGACATACTTGCCGATTGGTGAATTCGATGCATTTCGGGAATGTGGATATAGCCAAAGACAAAATCAAGATTTAGGCCGAATAAGAAAAAAATGTATATCAGAACAATTATCCTTCAGGATTAAGTGTCAATCATTTCTCAATATTAAGAAACTGTATGAAAAAAATCAGATAATTAGAATAAAGCAAGGGATTGAACGAACCTTCTACATTCCTGATATCATCGTCATGCCAACTTCGAAAAAGATAATCGATCTACTGAGGAGAGGAGACATCAAGCCCATGTACAAAGGAGGATTAACTAATTCCTTAGCTATGTTGACATTTCGAGGATTTCCGGTTACTTTGTCGAGTTGGGGGGACTTTCATTTTGTGTGAAAGTGCATGAAGAAGAGATTCGATTCATCCGTTTTCACCCGAAACAAAGGAGGAGGTCTCATGGACTGCGTCAACTTGAAGGTTGCATAAAAGCCAAACGGCTGCAGTACAACACGATTCATCCGTCCTCTTCCGGCGAGATCGACCAACGAATCTCTTCTTCGTGCACTTTCATACGAAATTAAAGTCCCCCCAACAATGTTATTTCAGGAGATTCATCGAAACCCAGTTTATCTTCGAATCTACTCTGTCGAGTTCAGGATGCTATAAAGCTTTGTCCTCCTACCAAATGTTCATGTGTTAATACATTCAATGAAAGAGATCAGAGTGGACTTTACAAATAAGCGAAAATTGTGAACCTATATAAATTAGACAAATGACCAACATCTTGAAAATAAAAACCAAGCTCGATCCCACCAGAAGAGAACAGCAAATTAATTTTCTCCTTACTGGAACATTCGGGTTGACGCTTTGCCCGAGATACTCGCCCTCGATGCCGATGGGAACTAGCTAGAAATTAGTTTGTCATCTGATCAACAGCATTAGAACTGGCTGACAACCAATTCAGGCCAAAAAATCGGGAGAACTCACAGACCTATCCTTACACGTTGAATAGATAATCTAAATCTATGCATTCATTTTGGGTATAGAGTGGTTTTGTTTCATCATGTCATTTGCCGATCAAGAAACCTGCATGTATTTATGCCTATTAGAAAGAATTAAGGAATTAAATAAGCTCAACAAGAATTAAGGAATATGAGATGCATTCACCCTATTTCATTTAAGGTGATGATTTACTGATTCGATGGTAGTCTTGAAACTCTACTTACATACGAAAAATAAGTAATGTAGTCGATTGTCATAGCAAAAATACGTTTGCTTCGTCGACAATCCCACCAAAGAATGTGATATAAAGAAATTGACATCTGCCCTGTGACCCAAGGACACTCGTGGCAATGTGGCCGAGTGTTTAACATGTCAAGCTCCCATTCTGAACTGTCACGGTTTGACTCCCGCTGGGGGTGTTGCTAAGGCCGAGGCGAGGTCGAAACTGTAGTCCACTTCTGTCTGGATAAGAACAAATTTTGGGAAAGCAAGGCAATGTGAAATTCAATGGGAACGTCAGCTCTACTCATATGATTGTGGGAAAATTCTTCTACCAGTCCTTCATCGCCTAAAAGGACTGATTTACTGTTAGTTTCGAAACTCTACTTACATACGAAAAATAAGAATTAATGAGACGAAGAAAGCGAAAAAGAGTTGTCTGAGAGGAAGTTTGATTATCTTAGGATCTGATTTGGGATCTAATGCATGCGGGACGTGTAACACTACTCGGGAAGATTGCAGGTTGAAACTCTTATCAATTTGCATTTATGTATCACATTTGCCCATTTACAGACATCTTGAAGATAAACTTTAAATAGCTAAATAATTTGGTATATGCATCACGAAAATTTCTAAGTTAATTAGCAATTAGTAATTAGTAAAAATAAAATAGTAATAAGCTATCAGTAATAAGTACAGTAATAATCTCTGCTATTTTAATGAATCATTCGATACATTAATTGGTCATTTCCCGCTTCTCCCAAAATGCTTGTGGATGAATCAATTTAATACATAACGATGAGGCAAACGTGGGCATACCAGTTTGCACGCACTCGCTTTAACTTCAGGTCCATTAGCAATTGGCAATTATTAAGTAGTAAGCAGTAAGTAGTAACTTGTAAATAGTAATAAATAAGGAATAAGTATTAATGCAGCCTGATAACTTTACCGCATTTGCTCAGTTGTGTCTTGCCTAATCTCTACATATTAACTTAACATTACGCCGGGTCAAGGGTCAGTCGAGCATCCCCCGCGCCACACTTTAATGTGATTTTGTGACCAAGTCAAAATAATATTTTCTATTACCATTTAATATATCATTTATATCCACATGGGGAAGGCTTCGATGCTATCTGTAGATCTTGAATCAGCACAGCTGAATCGGATTTGCAGTATGATGAGATGCGGATTTCTTCGAACAACTCGACCCCCTGATTTCAGATGAGGCCAATTTAGCACATTGTAATACAATTTTGTTAAAAGGTGCAAATTTCAATTAATATAGTCGTCTACTACAACGAACAATTGACTAATGCCAACACGACCGGCCCCAACGCATCGAATGAAATTGAGCACAGAGATCCGGACAGTCCCAAATGACAATTTTTCCTGTGTTCTACACATCGACTGGTGAAAATAATAGCCTTAAGAATGTGGACGAAGTATGATAAAACTCGTCCTCATAGCAACTTGATAATCCTGTTCAGCATGCGGATGACTGGAGTGCGAGAGCACGAGACCACAGACAGAAAGCAACCGTGTGCGTCCCTTCGAGCATGCTTGCACGAGGCAGAGAGAGGGTAAAGAAGTGGATTTGGCGAAGCGATTAAGTATTTTATGCCTCGCAAAAAAGGGCTAGAAGCAAATGAGGTAGCGCCATTTCTTCTTCCTTTTTGC